AATGTTTTAGTAGCAGGCAAAGTCAGATATTATGCCACTCGTCTCGATTGTGCTGGGTCCACAAAATGCCCACGGTGGGGCGCTCCCCGGCTCAGGGCCCCGCTCCTCCAGGGAGGGCTGCGTACCTTTGGGCTGTTCCTGGGCGCTGTGGCTTGTGAAGGCAGCGTTTTTCCTCTCCAGAAGGGAGTTTCTGCCGCTTCTACCTCAGTTAGGATTGTCTGTTATTGCAGGAGTTCCTCTTATCCTGTTTTCAGTTCTGTCTCAGGGGTAATTTTTCCACGAGTAGTTGTAAATTGGCTGTGTCCGCGGGAGGAGGTGAGTTCAGAGTCTGCCTACGCCGCCATCTTGACTTCCTCTCCTGACTCTTTAAACTACCTATTTAATTTAAAAATATAAACAGGTAATCTGACACATTTGCTACTATAACTTCATCAATAACATCTAACAAATATTTCCCGAAGCCTTGCTCAGTACCAGCTGCTGGGCTAGAAGCTGCAGTCCCCACACCGAGGCAGCCCAGTGGCTACTGGCTGCTGCACATGGAACTCCTTTACGCACACCACGGAAGGGCTTTTGGGGTCAGGTGAGAGCAGGGCACAGAAAACATGGTAGAACAGAAAATGACTCCATGGCCATCTGACATTGGATCCATACCCAGGTGAGGCCTGGTTCCAGAAGCCCCTGTTATTTGACTAGAGAAATTTGATAAGCATTTGGAAGGAAAGGACTTTGAGGAAAGGGATGGTTATAAATATCTGTAAGTCATTCCAACAGACAAAGAAGCAGGGCAGCAGGATTGATCAGACACTCAGGAAGAGCATTAAAGAAGAAAAGGAAGGTGAGGAAAGAGCCTTAAAGACTACCCTTAGGAGTTTCACTTTTGCAGGGAGGCAAGGATACTTTGTGATCTTCAAGGAAGAGGGAGCTCTCTTGACTGCCTCTGCAGTGAGTTAAGAGAATCAGTCTGAAGTGTTAAGTTTCTCTGATTCTTCCCTGGTCAGTCTCTGGTCAGTCTCTTGGTCTTCTGAAGGCCAAGTCTAGCAACTATTTCTCAGTACTCACCCTTTGGACCCATCCACAACATGTGGCCTTGCCAACAATCTCTTTATTCTGACTGTGACCTCATTCTTCCCTTGATTTCTGTGACCCCATGACCCCATTCTTCCCTGGTTCTTCTCCTCCCTCTGTGGTGAGTCCTTCTGTGGGCATTCTTTGGCAATCAGAGTTCAGGCAGTGGTCTTGGTTCTGAGGTATTTGTGCTTAAAGGGTCTGTACACAGGTAGGACAGGAATATTCAAGAAAAATGTGATAGAAATCAACAATAACAACCACAACAGTATCAACAGTATCAACAACAATGACAGCAACACAACCAGCGGGGTACCAGACATGGTTACAAAGCCAATGAAGACAGTGTGACAAGCTCCAGTGCTAAGAGTTTATGGGTCTAGACAGGAGAAAGGTATTTTGACACTTGGCTTTCATTAGCCAAATTACAAACAGGTAACCCAAAGACTCAGATCCTGTCGTAGAGTACTTATTGTTATGTATCTATAACCTGGTCAGGTATGAAAGGGCTGTCTAGTGATACATATAATAAAAATGAATAAAACATGGGTGAAGAGGAAATGAGATGACATCAGAAAGCATGATGACTCTAGTATATAAAAATATGCAACCAACTTTTAAAGCAAAGCTAAGATCATTAAAACTGCTGTCTAACTGCAGTACACATATCAAATACTCAATATATCTTTTAGATTTTCAGAGCAGTTTATAAATCCATATGAAAACCTTTATGATAGTACTGCTAGATAAGTGTTTAATGACAAAAACACATGCACGTTTCAGTCTATAATTAAGCATAATTATTTTAAGCATATATTAAATAAAATATAGTTAACTTTATTTTAGAAACCTAGTCTTAATTTAAAAGCTAGTTGAAACTTATGATAACTTTTCAGAAAACACATTATAACACTCTTACACAACTAATAGTAGAATATCCCACAGCACATAATCAAAACAGAAACGCACATCACCAACCTGTATCAAATCCAAAATTAAAACGTAATCTTTTCTACCCAACTCTTTCAGAAAACTGCATGCACGTATGACAAGAGATGGAGTGACTCAGGGAGCTGTGCCTATGGCAGTGATCAGTGATGCTTGTTTTGCAATGCGAGAATCATTTCTAGAACAGGCCGCTTTCATGGTACACTGATATAGAAAGTCTTAGTAAAACCAAATTATTTCTAATATTTTTTTAGCATTGAAGGCAAGGTCAACTTTGCTAACTGACATGCAGCCAGGCTGACCACACGGACGTGGACGTGCTAAACCTGAATGCGACTTGGTGTGAAAGCTCACCGTGGAGCACCTGCATTCTTTTTCTCAGCTACCTCTTTGTAAATTTGCTCCAAGTCCTGGTTTATCTCTCAACTTTCTTCTACTTTACATTATATTCGGCCATCTTCTCTTAACCACTAACTTTTTCTTCTGTAACTCAAGCAGCTCGTGAAATTCCCCTTTCTTTCAAGAAGGCCCCTTACTTGTTGGACAGCTCTCCTTGCAGCACCTCATTTGAGTATGGGGTTTTTATGTGCCTACTCTCCATTCTGTGAGCCATAAAAGCACTCACCTGTCCCTATGTTGCTTAAATTTGATTATCCTCTGGTGCTTCTGTGCTCCCTGAGGGTGTCAGTGGTGGAGGGACAGCAGAAAGCATGCTTGGCTGGAAGGAAGCAGGGGCAGTGGTTAAGTTATGGAGCGATGAAGCCAGACAACTTTGAGTGTGACACAGATCCTGCCCGACCAGCCTTGTAGTCTTAGAGAAATCACTAACCTCTCTCTAAGACCCGATCGCTGCATCTGCGGAATGGCCATAATCCCACGTAGCTCATCAGCCTGTCATAAGGCTGTTGGGAAGGCTAAGTGATATGACGTAGTGCAATGCCTCACACGTGGTAAGGGCCCGACAAGCAAAGAACTAGCAGGACACTGGATAAATGCCTTCTGACAACGATGAGACAAATATAAAGTAAACCAGAATTTAAGTATTTATTTTGAGTGTTAAAACTAGACATATAAAAAGACATATATAGCTAATGAAAATGTTGAAATAAAGACGGCTCAGGTAAAAAATGTCAACTAAATTACATCTTGTGCTGAAGATACATTTTTTATTGGCTGAATGCTCCATACTAGATTTTTAAAATAACACAAACATTCAGAATTGCAGTTTGTAACTTAGTTCATAGTCATGTTAGATACAATGGTTAAATGGCTTAGAAGAGACAATATTCCGTATATTTCTTAATATGCTTTATCAAGCATATTTGTAAAAGATCAAACTTTCACTTCCACTTACTATGATTTCCCCCTATACACCAAATGAACAAACACAACACTGACTTATTTCAAATAACAGACACTGTGTATACTGTACTCTAAAATTACTTGTATTAGTAAAGATATTAATTTCAGCATTGAAAAAGGAGATTCTGTGATACCCACAGAACAATCTGAAAACTCTGACAAGGAGACTACAAATAGAGAATCGCTCAGTTTTCTGAAGCAAATGGTGTGATGAAGTCAGTTAGGGAAACTGACTCTGAAAAAGGTCACAGTGCCCTGAACCTATTCTGGGAAAGGAAGCCAGCAGCCACCGGAGGACAGACAGCACACATGCTCACCAGCAGCTCCTACAGCCTAGCGACTGAGGAGCATCTTCAAACCCCCAGAAAACACAGACCGTGCCAGAGCCGCATTCTTGTAACTACTGAGCAAGATATTTCAAAGGGTAAGAAGTGGTGGAGAGAAAAGAAACTGCTAGAGGGGAAACAGCGGCAAGATTGTTCTGGAGGAGCACAAGGACTGCAGCTGTTCCCAACAGCACCCACGGGTGCCCGAGCCCTCACACACAACAATAGGCTCCTAGGGGACAGGAGCACACTGATGCCGAGTGACACAGCAAAGAAACAGTGAGGGGACAAAAAAAGCTACACTGAAAAGGTGCTGAATGTCTAGCACTGTGAAAAATAAAAATTAGGCAGCAAAATGCAAAATTAATTCATGGACATCTGCACCACAAAAAATCTACCCCAAATATAATGTTTCTATGCAGACCACAAGTTTTTCTAAACATCCACTTGACTTAGGAGACTTAGAGCTATTTGAATGAACTCGTTTTGAAGTGCAGCTGTACAGCTTAGGACAGTTAAAGCTCCAAAGACGTCTATACAGAAGTTCCCAAATCTCTTATCAGTCTCTCCGTGTGTCTTGGAAGCTGCTGACACTAAAAGGCTAGTGCTTGCAACACTGAGAATGCTCCCGCGTACATCTCGGCCATCTCAAAGTAACTGCTCCTGCAGCACTCACCAGGTGACATTCAGAAAGAAGACCCCAGTGGCATCCAGGACCTACTGTAATAAGAGTGACAAAACAAATACTGCTCGGCCACTTCAAATAAGGTCATTTTGGTTGAAATAAAATATATACCAACATCTTTCTAAGCTACCAATTTGGGGTAAAAAAAAAAAAAGAGAGAAAGAAATCGCAAACCTAATGCTTTATATACCAAATACCTTTAGGACACTTAAGAAAGTGAATGATTTTATTACTTGTTATCTTTGGACTGCCCTTATTTTGGAGGTATTTATGTTTTCATCATGGTTGAAGCAGCAGCTTGGAAACAGGTGAGCTGCAAGTGCATGCTGCTCTTGAACTTGTTCAGCAGCTCTTCCAGGAACCTGCAGGGAGAGAGACTACTTTACAACCTGGCAGAAGGAAGGCTGCCTACAGCAACATAAAAAAACAGGCAGGGTTGCCGACTACCCAGCTTTGGCTTCTGCTTGCTGAAAAAGTTATTTATCCATGGATTCTTAACTCAATAACATAAATAAGTTGATCAAAGAAGCTAGTTAAAAGGAATATATATTTATATACATATTTATGTTTATATATAAAAATCTCCCTCCTGTCCCTTTCCCCTAGATTAATTAGATTCCTCCCTAAAGAAGATTAATGTTTGGGCCTGTATGTTATTTTAATTTACTTTTTAAAAATTCATGTACACTACAATGCACTCTTGTTGGCACACAGTTCTATGAATGTTGACAACACGTCTTAGCAGTCCAATGACCCCACAATGGGGATACAAAAGAGTTCCATTAACCCCCAACTTCTCTTCTGCTGCCCCTTTCAGCCACCTTTCTCCTTATCCACCCCCCTCAGCAACTATTGTTTTATTTTCTATTCCTCTTATTTTGCATTTTTCTCTTTAACAAATATTGGAGAGCGGTGATCTAAACTGGTGAATTATACACCAGAAAAATCTGGGTTCGTTCTGCCTCCACCGGGCAAATCATTCTACTACTTGATAACTCAATTTTTTTCCTTAACTTGTCTGATATATCCATATAATTTTAGGGCCAGAAGGGATCTTGGAGTTCACCTTGTTCAGATGAAGCAACCAAGAAGTGGGCTTATCGGTATTGGGGTCAAGAGATTATTTCATGGTTTAACAACGTTCAATACTAGAACACTGTCCCAACAGCAGACTAAACATAGTCCCAGGGCCGGCCACATGGCGTAGCGGTTAAGTGCGTGCGCTCCGCTGCTGGTGGCTGGGGTTCGGACCCTGGGTGCACACCTATGCACTGCTTGTCAGGCCATGCTGTGGCGGCATTCCATATAAAGTGGAGGAAGATGGGCACAGACGTTAGCCCAGGGCCAGTCTTCCTCAGCAAAAAGAGGAGGACTGGCATGGATGTTAGCTCAGGGCTGATCTTTCTCACACAAAAAAAAATAAATAAATAAAACATAGTCCCTGTCTGGGACCAGATCAGGGGGTCTGCTGGTCTTGACTGCCAAAAAAAACCACCAGCCTTTTGAGCCATGTTCCACATGTTAAAAATAATAGTGACTTTTAATATTTTATCACATTTATTTTAAAAAAATGAACAGGGTTGGGAACCAATTCAGACAGATGTTGCAAGTCAGTGAGAGAAGGAGTAGGAAACGGAAGACAGGGTTTTGGGTAGGGCACTGTTGTACAGCCATCCACTTGCCCACTTAGGAATACATACAAGGAACATATAAGCCAAAGAACTGGCCTGCTACCCATTCTCCCAAGCTTAGTCCAAGTCTCCAGGCGACATTCTCCTCCATTAGCCCAGCCTCACGTGTTCTCTCTGCCCTTCCTTTCCTACAACATTCACCTGTGCTAGATCACAGCACCCACAGCAAGTTTTTCACACAGTAAGAACACCATAAATATTTGTCTACGGACTAGTCAGCCAAATACAAAGGCAGGTGGACTTCAGTTATGGTTGGCAAAGGAGCAAAGATCGACTGTGTTTCCACTGCCTCAGCTGAGGATAGGCTGGGCATTTATGAAATCTGCCTGGCCTAGATTTCCTCTCAGGTCAGAATTTCCTGTTGTATGAGTAGCAAATTTTAAACTCAGGCTGAGGTCATTAATACAGCATTAGTGAAACATATACAATTTATTATGTCATATGTACAAATCTACTCTTCTTTAATACTTCATATTATATAGAGCACAGGATGTACATTGCTGAGCTACTCAAAGGAAAAAAAATCATCAAGTCTTGCACTTTACTATGCTGTCCTCTCTTTTACATTTCTCTAAGTATTCTCTTCTTAAAACTTTAAGAGAATAATATAGTTTACTAAGTGAGTCAAACTTTCTTATGACTTTTCAGTACTAGTCACATAAAACACGAAGAGAACTAATTTCTAACTTGTCATAAACCCAGAAGAAAGGTTTTACCTTGTTCGGCTCCTTGTGAGCAGGCAGAGTACAGCTAGCATAATGCAAACTGTTAACGGCTGTTAAGTCCTGCCCTTCCTTAAATCCAAAACCTTGTTCAACACATCTACCTGGCTCCTGAGAATAGCATACAGAACTTACTTTTTATCTGCTCCACTTGAGAGCTGAGGCAGGGCTTCCAAAGCCTGTTTAAAACTAGACCTGGAACACAAATGGCAACGTTTAAGCTGGAATTTCTTTCATATTCCTAGGGGAATTAAGAGCACCATTAAAAATTCTTAAGAATATCTTAAACATAAAAAAAACAATATAAGCCAGCGAAGCATGTACAAATATGAGAAAAAGTAAAAGTGAAAAACAACAGAAAAAGTAAAAGTAAAAGTGAGGGCAGAGTTACCAGATAGAGGCATTGTAGGAGCAGGGTCAGAAAACTTGACTAGGAAATGAAACGACGTGAAAGGCTAAAGGAAAAACTGATTTTCACAAAAGGATGCTACTCATGGTAGATGAGAGCTTAATGTGGATGTTTTTAATTAAAAAAAGTATTTTCAAAACAAAACTGAACGATAGATAAAGCAATTGGTAAGAAAGGAAGGAAAGTACGCAGAAATAGGGATGATCTTGTGAAAGATTACACAGATGGGGACATTTATAGTATTGACATGTACAGGGCCTGATTTACAGCCAATATCTTACAATAACTGAACACGGTCTTTATGGCATTTAGCTATTATTATATTTAAAATTTGTAGGTTAAGGGAGAGATGCATATACATATTTTAAAAATTCAACATCATTCCATTTCATGAAAAATGGAAAAGGAAAATTAAAAAACCAACAATTTGGCATGTTTAACTTTTTTAAGTAGAAGTACCAGAAAAATTACTGCATCAAACGAAAAGCATTTTAGGGGGGATTATTTGGTAATAACTTGTCCTGTTCACTAAGGAACAGTTCTTAACTTCTTCTCTCTTCTTCTTTTATGACTGGTTGACTGAGGTGAAGAACTAACTACTAAATGTAATTATTCTGGACTTTAAAGAGGTTTTTGATTTCGTATTGCAAAAACATCCTCATCAATGTACCAGGAAACATACTTTTTCAGTAATATTTCTCAAACCAGGGGCAGATATGACAGCAACATGTAGAGAGATTGCAAAAGTCCCAATAGGTCCTAAAACCTGGCACTGGGAAGCCTCAGCAGTCCCTGGTGGGGGCAGGGGGCGGGGACAGGTCACAGCTTGTGGGCACACTGCTCCCTTCCCAATATGAAATCGGCTCGCTTCTTCCCTGAAGTGGACAGACGTCTCTGCCATCACCTCCACCATCAAAAGGAATGTGATGCTACTATTCCTTATTTTTACATTATGACAATAATGATGACAATGAAGATGATACCACCTATTATTTGTAGTGCACCAACAGTTAGGTGACGACATATTTTCTCACTTAACATCTCCCAACACTTTGCCTAGAAAGTATTATTATATTCCTTTTATAGATGAGGAACTTAGGCTATGAAAGGTTAATTTAGCAGGAATAAATACACAGTTACTTACACAAAGCATGCATATACATCAAATATGGACTGGGTGCTTTCTGTCGTCTATTTTTGAGCACTTCATACAGAAAAATGATGGTTGGGAAAGGTGTGGTTAAAGAACTACCGTGGGAGCCAACTAGAAATGGCTTCTGGTCAGTCACGATGAACAGGATTAAGAAGCTAACTTGGGAAAAAATTTTAAAAGTCTTTTCAGTTCTGATGATGACAGTAAGGATGATGGCACAAGCCATGTTAAGAAATGAATGAATAAGTATATCACACGAAGTATCCTTAAATATTTTATTTGTATACTGCTTTGCTTCTCAGGCACATTAACAATATAACCAACCCAGTCTTTCCTAGGTCATACTGCCAATGGAGTAAACAATTTTGTATAGGCAAGTACTTAGCGCTATTTCAGTTCACTTACTGATATTTCAATGATAGGAAATCCTGACTTTCATTCAAAACAGCTAAAAATTATCATCAAATTTCCACTACAAAATTTTGCAGAGAAACCACAAGGCTTCCTCTTATGCTGATATTTACAACGCTTGAAGTGTCCTTCAGAACCTGCTATGAATAGATTGACTCAATTCTTATTTTCTCCTTTTTTTAAGAAGTATGTAATGTTCTGCTACTTCATTTATGAGACTAAGATTTATCTTAGTAAATGAAAAACAAAATTACATTAAACATTTTTTCCTTTATATTATGCTACAAAGAAGCAGTCTTAGGAGTCCTTGGCTTATTGTAGGTCTATGCTTTTTCACTAAAAAATTGATCAATCAAATATAAACTTTATCACACTACAAAATCATGAGCATTCACTCTGATAAGTTATCTTTACAAAGGATTTTATACAGTAGTAAGACAAGCTTTATTTTTAATGCAGTGCTTAAAACAAGAACATTTAGCATCTTACCTGCTTTCAGACGTCAGGTGAACAGCCACAGTATCCCTCAAGGCACAGATTTCAAGCCTTGCCTAAAGATGAGAAAACGACAAAGTGACAATAGGGAACTGCGTCCATTATCAAACAGAAATAAGCGGTGAGGGGGATGGTCTCCAGCCTGCTCACTGCACGGACGGGGTTGGCACAATACCACAGGCATGTAGTTACCTCGACTGCCATGGTGACTCTTAGTTATGAACAGACTTTCCAAAACAGTCCAAAGAAATCAGCTATGACAAAGTTTCCTTTTACTGAAAATTAAGTTATAGTCAAGTATGACTGTGAAGGCTGGGAGCCAGATATCTTGCTATGAAAGGTACAAACTGTGCAAAGATTTTCCAGCAATCTGTATTTACTATCTAACCAGTAATTTTTCTTTTGGTCTGCCTGTGAGAGGAAGGAAAGTCTGAAACGCTGTCCCTGAATCATCCCCTCCCCCACTGATTAAGGAAGTGGGTTGGTGACTTCCTCACACCTATGCCCTTCCAGGCACACTGACTTTAATCTCAAAAGCTAAGCTAAAGCTCTAAGGATTCAATGCAATGCCTATTAAAATCAGAGCTGGCTTTTTTTTTTTTTTTTAAACAAAAAGTTGGTCTCATACAGACAAAATTATCTTGAAAAAGAATAACAGCAGGAGAAACTCACATTTTCTGATATTAAAACTTACTACAAAGCTACAGTAATCAAGACAGTATGGCACTGGTACATGGACAGACACAAAGATCAACGGAACAGGATTGATCATCTAGAAATAAACCCTTACATTTATGATCAATTGATTTTCAACAAGGGTACCGAGACCATTCAATGGGGAAAGAACAGTCTCTTCAACAAACAGTGCTGGGACAACTGGATATCCACATGCAAAACCCTGAAACTGGATCCCTTCCTTAACACAAAACTTAACTCAAAATGGATCACAGACTTAAATGTAAGGGATAAAACACTCAGAAGAAAACAGGAGTACATCTCTGTGACGTTGGGCTAGGCAAGCTTCTTAGAAATGACATCAAAAGCAGAAGCAACAAAAGAAAAAACAGATAAATTGGACTTCATCAAAATTAAAAACTTTTGTGCTCCAAAGAACACCAACAAGAAAGTGGAAAGACAACCCAAAGAATGCGATACCACGTCACACACACTATGGTGGCTATAATCAATAAGACAGTCACAAGTATCGCCGAGGATGTGGAGAATCTGGACTCTTCATACATTGCTGGTAGGAAAGCAAAGTGGTGCAGCCACTTTGAAAACAGTCTGGCAGTTCATCAAAAGATTAAACACAGAGTAACCATATGGCCCAGCAATTCCACTCCTAGGTATATACCCAAGAGAAAAGAAAACATACGTCCACAAAAAGCTTATACACAAATGTTCACAGAAGCTTCACATTAGTCAAAAAGTGGAAACAACCCAAATGCCCATCAAATGATGAATAGATAAAGAAAATGTGTATATTTATACAATGGAATACTATTCAGCCATAAAGAGGAATGAAGTACTGGTACGTGCCATAACATGAATGAACCTTGCCAACATGCTAAGTGAAAGAGGCCAGTGACAAAGGCCATATTTGTATGATTCCATTTATATGAAATTTTCAGAATAGGCAAATCATAGAGATAGCAAATTAGAGATAGCAAGCAGACTGGTGCTTGTCTGTGGCTGGGGATGGGAGCTGGGAGGAAAATGGAGAGTGACTGCTAATGGGTCTGGGGTTTCTTTCCAGGGTGATGCAAGGTTCTAAAATTGATTGTGGTGATGACTGCACAACTCTGTGAACATAGTAAAAAAAAAAATAAAATCACTGAATTATATATTCTTTTTATCTTGTAGACACATTCTATGATATATGAATTATATCTGCACAAAACTTTTAAGGAAAAAAACTAACCCAAAGCTTACACTTCTTTGCCAGCTTGAAGAAGTGTGACTTTACATACAGATCAGTTGTCCGTGGAGCTCTAGAAGAGCCTCTGACAAGGAAGCCCTTGTCAGAGGTCTGATCATGTCCTCCACCTTGGACTCAGTGTGGGTGATGCTCAGGAGACTATTTAAAAGAAACAGCCTTATTCTCCACAAGTGTATAAAACATAAACAACAATAAAAGACAGGGCTAGTTCTTTAAAGTAGAGTTAATTAGAAATTCTGTAACCAATCTAGATAAAAGCTGATTTATATAAGAAATAGTATATTCAGTGAAATTTTTTTCTGTTTGGAAGCAATTGTTTGGTTTCATTTTTCAGTGCTTTAGAGGCCTGAAGACCAGTCTGTAATTAGAAAGCACATGTATGACAATTTGCCTCTATATTCTAGTATATACAAAAACAGACATACAAGAAAAATATCAAAGAGAAAAAATAAGGTAGAACTTTTAGCTGAATATTTTAGGAGAAGGATCAAATTACTGTACAACTAATCTTCATGTAGAAATTTTATTCAAAGTGATAAGGTGTTTTAACTAACCTATGAATTATGCCAATTATACAAGCTGTGGATATTTACATAACACACTAACTCTATGCCAGAAAATGTCATGCTGAAAGATCAGCTCAAGTCACCAAACCGTCACTCCACTCCTCTCTAACTGGCTCTCAGGAAGGTTTTGAGATGGACGCACTGGCCTTGATGTAAGTGACCATTAAAGATTAACCTGTAGCCCCTCTCAGAGTTATCTGCTCAGAAGAAGGAAGTCTAACACAGTCTCCTCAAAGGGAGGGGGTGAAGTGGGAGGTTTAGACTCATCCGAACTTTTCCAAAATGGAAATGACTGGGGCCAGCCCCACGATGTAGCAGTTAAATCCGGTGTGGTCTGCTTCGGCGGCCTGGGTTTGCAGGTTTGGATCCTGGACATGAACCTACACCACTTGTCAGCCATGCTGTGCTGGTGTCCCACACACAAAATAGAGGAAGGCTGGCACAGAAGTTAGCTCAGAGCTAATCTTCCTCACCAAAAAAAAAAAAAAAAGAAAGAAAGAAATGACTGCCCAGTCTCTAGGAGGTACCAGAATACTAGAGTTGAAACAGTCATGGTGGCCAGCAGTCTCCTGGGCATGTGTATACCAAAATTCTCCAGCTGATTCTGATATTTCTTCCTAACCTCTTCCCACTAGTTCTGAAAGGAATTTAGCTATCAGGTAAACGGGTTGCAGAGATAATTCTCAGGGAGGGGAGATTTTTTTTTTATAATTCCAAGACTGGTAGGCCACTGTAGCTACGGCAACCTTCTTTTAATTAATCTTTAGTATTACACAATTTATGCTCTTGATCTCCTGTGATAGAACTATTACAATAATCATGACCTTTCAACTTTAACTATAATATCAAAGGTCTGATCAACCAAATTTTTACAGAAAATTGGTGGCAACTGGAAATATAGCAGAAGTTTTTGTAACAGATTTTCCCCTAACCAACTTGCAAAATTAACAAGTGCTCTCCATTCCTTTTGCCCCCCAAATTTTTTTTTTGGTGAGGAAGACTGGCCCTGAGCTAACACTTGTACCAATCTTCCTCTACTTTGTATGTGGGTCGCCACCACAGCATGGCTTGATGAGTGGTGTGTAGGTCCGCACCTAGGATCCCAACGTGCGAACCCCAGGCTGCCAAAGCGGAGCATGCAAACTTAACCACTACACCACCGGGCCAGCCCCATGCCCCCCAATATTTTTGTATGAAAATTCTCAAATGTATAGAGACTTTGAAAGAATTTTACAGCGAACACCTGTATACCCATCGAGTTCATCATTAACATTTACTAGCATTATCACATATCTATCCATTTATCAATCCATCATATTGTTTTGATGTACTTCACCAAGCATCATTAACTAGGTGGACTGTTTCAATTCTTTTTTTGTTTTTTGAGTTAAAATTTACATAAGACACAACGGACAAATCTTAGAGTGTACCATTTGGTGAGTTTTGACTGATGCACACACCTGTGTAATGGAGACCCTATCAAGGTTACCAAAGCTCAGGCCCCTACCCAGTTAATCTCTACCACCCAGAGGAAAGCACTGTCCTGAGACTTTCTTCCCCCATAGATTAGTTTTATCTATTCTGGAACTTCATGCAAATGAAAGTATATGTGCACTTTTGTATAAGGCTTCCTTCACTCAGCTGAATGCTCCTGAGATTCATCCAGGTGGAACCAGGAGACAGTCCTCTTTAATGCTCAATAGTACTTGGTTTTATAAACATATCACAGTTTGTTTATTTATTCTATTGATGGACATCTGGGCTATCTCCAGTTTTTGGCTATTCTGAATAAAACTGCTATGAGCATTCTTACATATGTTTTTTTCATGGACATACATTTTCAGTTCTCTTGGTTAAATACCCAGGATTCGAATGGCTGGGTCATATGGGTCATAAGGTATGTGTATATTTAGTTTTAAAAGAAACTGCCAAGAGCTTTTCCCAAAGCAGTTGTACTATTTTACACTCTCAACAATGTGTGACAGCTCTAGTTTCTCTACAGTCTTTCCAACATTTGCTATTTTCAGTCTTTAAATTTTCTTCATCCTGGTGGTCATATAATGGTATCTTATTATAGTGTTAATTTTCATTTCTCTGATAACTAATGATGCTGACCCCCCTTTCATGTACTGATTGGAAATCGAATTACATGTATGTTAGACCTTTTGACATTGTCCCAGGGGTCCCTAGAACTCTGTTTATTTTTTCCCAATTATTCTTTTCTCTGTTCTTCACATTGGATAATTTCTGTTAATCTACAAATTCATTGCCTTTTTCTTTTGTCCTCTCTATTCCACTGTTAAAAATTCATATACTGTATTTTTCCATTCCAGAATTTCTATTTAGTTCTTCTTTTAGGGTTTCTATTTTTCTGTTGAGATTTCCTCTCCATTCATTGTGAGTACCGTCTCCTTTACATCACTGAACCCAGCTACTTTAAAATCTTTGTCTTCGAGTTCCAACAACTGGGTGATTTCAAGGTTGGTCTCTGTTGATTGTCTTTTCTATTGAGAATGGGTCATGTTTTCCTGTTCATTTTGTTTGTGCATTTTAATTAAACTTAGATTGTACCCTGGACATAGTGAATGTTATGTTGTGGAGACTCTGGATTCTGTAATATACCTCTGAAGAGTGTTGATTTTTGTTTTGTTTGTTTTAGTAAGCAATTAACTTATCTGTACTCAAACTGAAAACTCATGGCTCTTGGGCAGCATTTCAATTCTTACTTCAGCTCTTCTAGCCTTACCTGGCTGGCCGGAGTGGAGTTCGACCACGCATATGTAGTTAAGGGGCCGACTAGAGCCTTAGGCAGTGTACACACAGAACTGGTGCCTCTTGCTTTCTGCTCTCTGGGATGCCTCCCTCGCCTTACTGCAGTTGTGGCTGCCCTGAATCCTATTCTTCAAGCCATAAAGAAAGCATGTTTTGTGGAGTTTTAGGCACCCCGGGGCCTGCCTTCAGACTAAAATCCATAAAAAGTGAGGAATTCACTCAAGTGCCATTTCTTCTAGAATTGCCCACTCATGGTCATGCTCCAGCATCTTCAGGTTTGTTTTTACATTTTTTATTTTTATATATTGTTCAAGATTACAGCTGTTATCTGTAGCTTGATGGGAGCTTCCTCAGCCATTACTGGAAGCAAATGGCCAGTACTTTTTAAAAATACACCCACCATGCTCTAGCTCCCTGAGAGCTCAACGTTGGGAGGTCACTCTCCCACATGCCTGCACACCTTGGCTCTTGCCAATCTGGTTATGTGCATACCAAGAACTATCTGGTTTAGAGAAGTTATATTTGTTATTATAATTATTTAATTTAAATAACTACAACATAAACCAATGAAAGATGAGTGCAAAGAGACAGTTATTTGTCATTTCTATGCAAACTGAATTGAATGCTTTGGAAAGACTTATTAAACATAAGTTGCTAAAACTTTCCTGTGAAATTGAATGTAGAGAAGACAACTGTAAAATAAAAAGAAAAAAAATCACAGAACTTTAGAAGGAATCTGCACTCAGATAATTTCACAAGAGTCATTAAGGTTTTGCTCTACTCTAAAGAAACATAAACTCTGGAACTTGTAGACAATGCATTATGGGTATGACTTATGCAAGAGAGATGATGTAGATCTCCAATTAGCAGATCCACTAAAAAAAAACACCAAAAACCACCTGTATATCATAAGATGGATGAGTAAAAATACATTTTTATGTTTTAAGTGAAAACAAAAGTTCAACATGGAACTGAACGATTTTGGTACCTGCAATGCTCCATTTTTGCTGAAGGATGAAACACACTGCATCAGTCGACTTAGCTCTTCAGAAACCGCTTCAACCACCTTGGACAGAATCCGAGGCACCAATTCTTTGGAAATAGTGAACACCTGATGAAAGGTTTCAAATAAGAAGAAATGATGCATTGTGGCGGCTCTTCCTGACTTGAATTTGTTAAAAAAAAAAGAAAAGAATGCACAAAACAAAATAACTCACAGTTCTTGTAAATCATATTTTTAGAGGACTGGAATTATGAATGAAAGGAAAATACAGACTTACACTTAAGTTGTATTAACTGATTCATGACAAAAAACAATACTCTTAAAAATATATTGGCAAATGTAATTTTGAAAGATATTGTTCATGTTGACAAACTAAAAATAGTTTTAAAGATTTCTTTGTCCTCTTGCCCTTTTCACAAGAAGAAATATGATTTCTAAAGAGGAAATTACAGAAATAAAAACATATTGGATCAATATTTTACCAAAATTAAAAAAAACACACTGGGTCAGACTCTCCTTAGATGGCAACACACACTGTTTCATACTGGGTACATTATTCTATACTGGACAACAAGGTCTCCAATTTTACTATTTGCTGAATTAAATATATATTTCCTTTCATTTAACATAAAATATTATTTTCAAACTTTGAATTTTGATATTTTCAAACTAAGTCATTATATTTTAAAATGTCATGAAACATTTTACTATCCTGATTTATAAATTAAACTAAAGCATGTTTTCTTTTTAGCTTTTCCTTTTTTCAGACTGAGTCACCAGTATTAAACCTTTGGGTCAACCCCAACATAATGTGAGTGTTCAAGAAAATGTTTGCAAATAATAAACATTATGAATGAAATTCTACTTTCAGTCGCAGGATAAATTAAAAGGGGGCTTGAAAAGCCTAATACTTACAAACAAGCTCATGGTTGTTGATAACGGACATTAATTAAAGCTGCCTCTTTAGGAATCACCACCATCACTAAAAGTTCCCATGTGTTTCCCAGTTCCTCTGACTACCACCCGTCCACCTACCACAGAAATGCTTCAAATGATTGAGGATTTAATTTTATACCCTAATTTTATTGGAAGCTAACATAACAAGAAAACATTTTTATATCTTTGATAAAATCACAGTTGACCATACATTACTCATTATAAAAAGATATATGTGACAAATTCTTGTCTGAGTTAAATCATATAAAAACCTTACTTTTATAGAGGAATTTATATGCTTTCCTTTATTAAGACATGAAAACTATAGGATACTATATATCTCTTTCTGCTCTAGTTGCTCCAAACTGAGAGCCAAATTCAGGAATGAGGTAGCAGTTTCTTTGTTTCCTTTGGTCTCTCTTGTTTTAGCCTTAATTAGCCATGTTTTTCCAGTGTAGCCTGATAATCTCAGATACTTCTGAATGTAGAGAGTGGTATAAACCCAAATGCACCGACATCAGATGCATACAGCTTAAAAGGCACTCAAGCAACAGTGGAAATTATCTAATGATAAGCTATTTGCTTGGCCCCATTTCATCTGGTCACCCATCAGTTTATAAGCCATAGCCACTCTGAAAGTACTGGCAAAGCAGTGAGTAATGGATTGTAAAATTACAAAACAGGTAGTCATAGTGGCGATAATGGTGGTAGCTGTGGTCTCTTCTTTTGATGTTCCCTAGAAGAGTCCTCCTAAGAAGGATGTTAACTAAGTTTGTGAATATGAAGCTTAAGATGATGATGCTTCAAGTGAGGGCAAGTTTTACTGTGAACCAGAAGCATCAACATCTAGATGTAACTAGGTCAGCCACTGATAGGAAACCACGCACCTCCTTCCTAACTTCTGCCTGCTCTTCGAGCCTGTCTTTCTGGCAAGTGTCTACTTTTCTGGAGTCCCAGCCACTAGGTAAGACACACTGCTACATAACTAAGACATCAATGCTTACTTGTATACTGCTTAAAAAGAGGTTAATGAATTTTCCAAGATAAGGGACTTACCATTCCTTTCAATACAAGATAAGGGAAAAACAATCTTTCAATCTCTCCTCTTTACCTTTCAAATATTAATGAATTTAGTTTTAATTATGAGAAAAAACATATACAATTTCAGAAAAAGACTCTCATAGTTAAAAACACACACGTGCATGTGCACGCATGAAAGTAGAGTTGTGTTTTATTTATATCCGAGATATATTCTGAAGGAAAAAAAGACTACCATAAAAAGCATCAAATTTGCCTCTTTTTCTTTTTTTTGAGTTACCCATATCTCTTAGGAACATCTAATGATAGCTTACCTCTGCATGCACGGCAATTATATTCACCAATGCTTCTTTTAAGTAGTTCCTGACACCTGAAATCAAGATGGGGGAGGGAGAAAGACACTTAATGGAAACACAAGCTACCCATCTCCCCTGCTGCATCACTGGGCTCTGTATTACTGCCTTCGAGTTTTCTAAGGAGAAACAGAAAGTAACACCACCCTGTCTATTTCCCTTTGAGAAACAAATGGTGAAAGGACTATTTTCGCACAGGTTAAAAAAACAGATTAAATTAGTTAGGAGTTTTCTTTCATTGTTTTTCCATTTCTGTCATTGTTTATACTTTCTGTAACTGCTGGTCTGCTTCCAAGTTGAATAAAAATGTACTTCAGTTTCTTCATATCTATATCTATATATATATATTCATGTGTGTGTATATAAGCACACACACACATTAAAAGACCAAAAAAACATAGGACAGAAGGAGGATATTTACCAAAACTTGTAAAACATATGCTAAATACCTATTATAGCATCTTACTTCCAAAGTTAAAAGTCAAAATATTATGCTGAATGACTATTTTGATCTTAAGAAATCACTTCTAGGGGAAACTTCTGACAAAACCACACTCAATCTGATTCTGTAAAGCAAGTTAAAGACTGGATAAAATACAAGATTTCAGAATGGTACGGAATTAACGAACACTACTTCACTCAAAAGTAGGCACACAGGATATAACAATGCAGAGGTCGGAGGTCACATTATCTTGGACCAGACCCCAGTTTCATCACTTACAAGCTGTGACTTCTGGTGAGAAGGCTGTACGCCCAGCTTTCTCTCCTGTCAGTGAGTCTGATAACAGGGGAGACTAACAGAGATAATGCATGTGACTGGTCCTGGGGTTCACAGAGCTCAGTAAGAGCTTTCACTATCATGATTTTGCAAGAAACAAAATGCTGCTTTATTGTAACTCCAAAACAACCACTTTCCCATGGAGTAAAATAATATTTCAGAATGCCTTCTAGAATTAACTGCACATACTGATAATTCCTTCTCTATAGAACAGAGAAAATTCAACTGTATTGTAGAATCATGAATTTGACAGTAAAGATGTTAAGGAGACTCTCTTCCCAAAATGTCATCCGATTATTTAGGACAGTTGAGATAAAGGCCAAGATCAATAATCAACTTTTTAAATTTGCATTTGCAGATATTAAATATATAACTAACTTTGGATTCTGTCATATACTATGGGGTATACATAGCTACACTGTTTTTCTTTTGAGGAGCCAATTTCATATGTATTTCTTTGGGATATGAAGGTTCAGGTGTTACTATTTATATTTTGCTGATGGAGTAACTGAGAAAGCTGATGGAAGATAATTACATATAGTCCATAAATCAGTTGATTCTTCCTGAGAAAAAGGATAACTTCAAGGTAACGAGTCTCATCTGGGAGGCAGGAGAGGGGAACACAAGGAGCCTGCTGTAAGTGAAAGTGAAATAAACAGACCTGTACTCAAGAGCAGAGAAGCCTTCCTCCTGTAAGAGGCAAACCTACCACAGAGAGGTTCCCTTGTGATCCACATGCTATGTCAGGGCGCGAGGGGGACCCGGCTGTGACATCTTCCTCAAAGACCAAGATGGCCTCACCCTCTCTCTGAGGGAGAGGGAGAGGGAGAGGGAGAGGGAGAGGGAGAGGGAGAGGGAGAGGGAGAGGAGGGGCAGGGAAGGGCGCTGGGGTCCAAGAGTCCATCATCACTGTACTCAGGTCTAGCTCTTCAAAGTGCAACTCCAGGAAGGCCAGCTCATAGTCACGCACATATATAAAATAGATACAGTGATTAAACACAGATGCACCATATCAGGCCAGTGATGGTCTAAGGACCTTAAAAATAAGAAATTCAACAGTGTCTGCCCTCTGTGGAAACCACGGTCCTGTCAGTGCTACTACACGAACAGATGTCAGCAGTCTGAGTTCCAGCAATGATGACTGGAAATGTGAGGGCAGGATTTTACTTTTAAAATTCTTCAATGTAAAAGAGAAGAGTGGGACCAGAGTGCTGACTAAAAAGCAGAAAATTAAACTTAGAATGAAGCAAGACAAGGTCACATGCTCAGTCACAGTATGCTCTTAACTCAGCTCCCCTCTGACCCTGAGAGGAAAACATTTCCTGGCAAGAACCCGTCAGACTGAGCATTACTAGTAAAAGACCCTGCAGAAGAGATGAATCCTAAATTACTCAATACAATTCTAAAGACAAGGCTGTGAATAGTAAGAATAAAAGCACAGGATACTTTCAATCATAAGGACCATATTTCTGTTAATAGAAAATCTGAAAAAAGCAGCACGCTTCCTGTTTTAGGCTGACTACAGGTTTCAAAAGGATAATATATTGGAAGGATCACAGAGCCTTAACCTTGGACAAGTAAAAAAATTTTGTATTTCTTGGAGACTTGATTTTTATTAATAGAAAAAAATGAAATAATTGCTCCCTCCCCCCAAAAAACCAACAACAAATAACTGCTTCAAGGGGTAAGGGGCAATGTTGGAAAAAAAGAAGGAAAAAATATGTAGTCCTAGGGGATGGCAGAAATAGAGCTCCTAGTCCAACCGCCCGTCAGGTCGGTAGGCTTCCGAGAGACAGCACGAAGTGGAACACATCTGAGCAATGCACGCTGCTTGAGGCGGGGCTCCGAGAGATATACACTTGTTTTTAAAAACTTTTTTTATTGATGTCATAATAGTTTATAACATTGTGAGATTCCAGTCGTACATTATTATTTGTCAGTCACCATATAAATACGCCCCTTCACCCCTTGCGCCCACCCCCCAACCCCCTTCCCCCTGGTAACCACCAAACTGTTCTGTCAGTGTGTTAGTTTATATTCCACATATGAGCGGTCATACAGTGTTTGTCTTTCTCTGTCTGGCTTATTTCGCTTAACATAATACCCTCCAGGTCCATCCATGTTGTTGCAAATGGGACGATTTTGTCTTTTTTTATGGCTGAGTAGTACTCCATTGTATATATATACACCACATCTTCTTTATCCAATCATCTGTTGACGGACACTTGGGTTGCTTCCACGTCTTGCCTATAGGGAATAATGCTGCAATGAACATAGGGGTGCATAAGCCTCTTTGGATTGTTGATTTCAAGTTCTTTGTATAAATGCCCAGAAGTGGGATAGCTGCATCATAAGGTATTTCTATTTTTAATTTTTTGAGGTATCTCCATACTGTTTTCCATAGAGGCTGCACCAGTTTGCATTCCCACCAGCAGTGAATGAGGGTTCCCTTTTCTCCACATCCTCTCCAACATTTGTTATTTTTTGTCTTGGTGATTATAGCCATTCTCATGGGTGTAAGGTGATATCTTAGTGTAGTTTTGATTTGCATTTCCCTGATGATTAGTGATGTTGAACATCTTTTCATATACCTATTGGCCATCTGTATACCTTCCTTGGAAAAATGTCTGTTCATATCCTCTGCCCATTTTTTGATCAGGTTATCTGTTTTTTTGTTGTTCAGATGTGTGAGTTCTTTATATCTTATGGAGATTAATCCCTTGTCGGATATATGGTTTGCAAATATTTTCTCCCAGCTGGTGGTTGTCTTTTCATTTTGATCCTGGTTTCGTTTGCCTTGCAGAAGCTCTTTAGTCTGATGAAGTCCCACTTGTTTATCTTTTCTTTTGTTTCCCTTGTCCAAGTAGACATGGAATTTGAGAAGATCCCTTTATGACCAATGACGAATAGCGTACTGCCTACATTTTCTTCCAGGAGTTTTACAGTTTCAGGTCTCACCTTCAGGTCTTTGATCCATTTTGAGTTAATTTTTGTGTATGGCGAAAGCAGATGGTCTACTTTCATTCTTTTGCAAGTGGCTGTCCCATTTTCCCAGCACCATTTATTGAAGAGACTTTCCTTTCTCCATTGTGTGTTCTTTGCTCTTTTGTTGAAGATTAGCTGCCCGTAGATGTGAGGTTTCATTTCTGGGGTTTCAATTCTGTTCCACTGATCTATGTGTCTGTTCTTGTACCAGTACCATGCTGTTTGGATTACTATCGCTTTGTAGTACGTTTTGAAGTCAGAGATTGTGATGCCTCCAATGAGAGAGATTCTTATAACCGCCAAAGAAATGCATATGCTGGTGTTATAACTTAAGGATAAAAATTTTAATTTAATTGATTGCCTCTCTCTAAAAAGCTACCCATTGTGCTAAACACAGAGATAAGTATCTTTTATTGCCTTTTCAGCTGAAATTGTTAGTTCTAAGAGAATGGCTAAAGTTCTCATTCATTCCTTCAACATAAATTTGTTGGGATTCTGCTCCATGGAGACACTGCTAGGCCATATCAAAGGTGGTCAGATGTTAGATTGTTCGAGTAGAATACGTATGTACCCCAATATGTGTAAGACCCTAGTGCACTTAGTTATTATGTTTTCCCCAATTTACTTGTGTTCACATACGTGTCTTAAGTTGTACGTAGCAAAAATGTGCTGGATGGCTATATGAAAGGGTTTTATATTACAATAAAATATTTGTACTCCAACTTAAACTAATTTGTGAAATGTTTCCTTGCAATCTCTATTTTGTGAAGTTCTTGAAAAGTTAAAGAATAGTATTTGGGGAGTGGTGGAGAAAGTCAAGGCACTGGGCGCACGAGACTAGACGGTCTCTGCGTCTAGGGACTGAGGTCTGAAGGTTCATAAACATAAAACAGATAAGATCTTTGTGGTCTTCCTAGTTAAGAATTTCAATTCCTTTCTCTCTTCACTCCACTCTAAAGCCAGTTATCAGCCTCAGAAGAAACAAAGCCAATATCACACCCCACTCACCGGCCTTCCGCTCCCAGCCTGTACCCTGGACTCACTCAGGGGTCCACACTGAGACTTTCAGATGTTTCTAAAAAACTAAACGCAGATTAACCCCTCGGGTTTAACTGCCTGTTCTCTGTTTTAAAACATTGCTCCAAATCCAACTGTAGGAGGATGTCAGCTCTTTCAAAAATCTGTACCACCAAAAGAAGCCCATAATGGTGGCAGGTGCAGAGGCTGCCTCTCTCGCCCCATGTGGCACTGATG